CGTCGACCCCGAGCGGCGACGGCAACCGACAGAAACGTCGGCTCGCGTCGACCCCGCCCCCCGCGCGGCCGTCGCTCCCGAGCGCCTGCCCCCCCCCCCCCCTGCGGCCGCGTGCCCCCATCCGATGACCACTGCCCTCCCCCCTCCTCCTCCTCCTCCTCCTCCTCCTCCTCCTCCTCCTCCTCCTCCTCCTCCAGCCCCAGGACACACCACCGAACCTTCTGTGGGGTTCACCCTGAGGACACACCCGCACTTTCTCGTTGGTTTGCAATGACTCCCGTGCAACTCTGACGCCTGCGGATGATGGCGCCAGGCTTTGGCTCTGCTCTGCGAGCGCTTGGGTATAACCCGATGTGGGCACATGGCTTGCGGATGCTGGAAATCTTATTCCACACATGTACCTATGACGCGGTCCTGCTCTGTGGGACGCAGAACTCCTGGCGGATGGGTGAGGGAGTCCTACGTACAAGGATGGAAGGACGACTTATACTGGAAGCAGTGGCACAACCTGGAATGCTTACCACTAAGGCCACGGGCTGCGCTGTTATCCTGCGGAGGGGGTACTCCGACAGACACAGAAAGCGGACCTGGACACCACCACCGAGGCTTGCAGGACGAGGGCTCGCGGTTCGCGTACAACGGGGAGCTATTGATGTGACGTATGGGGTGCTCTACTACCCGCCGCAGCCCCGCTCTCATCGTGAGAACCGCATCTACCACGAGACGGTGCGTGAACTCACGGACTGGTGGCGTTCGGTCATGGTCCAGCTACCGTGCAGGACGCTCCCCCTCTTCTACGCCGATCTGAACGACGGCTTGGGTGCGCAGAGCGTTGGAGGACAGAGATATGAACCACCTTGCTCGGCCCTCGGCAACACGCGCACTCGAGAACGTCGGCGACAGGGAGCGGGCGAACTGGTGCGACTTCTACTCACGGAGCAGCGGATGGTCTCGGCCACCTCGTTCGGCCCCTACGCCCCGACGTTCTGCTCGTCAACTACGCCTCCGACGTGCAGCATGATCGACTATTGGTTTCTCCCGCGAGGCTGGCTGGACAGGCTGCAGCGGGCTCATATATTGCGCAGCGTAGGCGACATCCTACAACCAGTGCGAGGTCTACCACCACGAGATCACATCCCTGTCCTACTGCAGCTCCGGCATGCCAAGGACCCTGGTGACCTCCCCCCCCTGCGCCACCTCGCAGGCTTGATGGTGACGCTATGTTGGCTGCCATCGTTCGCGGCGAGGGCAAGGCGGCATTCCTCGACGACCTAGTCACCCAGCTCCGCGAATGTGAACCTCACCTCCGCGACCTGGCCCTACGCCCTGCGCACGATGACTACTGGGAGGCCTTTGAGCAGCTGCTCTGCACGGTGGGCCAGCGCCATTTCGCTAAACCAGCTTCGGCACCACGCCCTCAGGATTGCCAGGAACGCCGTCGCCTTCTCGAGGTACGGGCCGCACTTCGACGGGACCGAGCCAGCCTGCCACCCTCCGAATCCATGGACGAAGCCCTGGCCACCATCGAGCAGCAGCTGAAGGAGCTCACGCGACTACTGGCTAAACAACGACGACGTGCACTTCTTGCTGCGAAGGAGGACCTGCTCGACCAGGTTCGCCAGGCGTGGAGGGACAGGCGGATGCACGAGGCGGCCCGCCTCTCGAGGCAGGCCGCTCGCTGCCGCTTCGGCGCGCGCCATCGGGACGGGCGACGGCTGGGCTCCACCACGCTCAGCAAGTCGGATTGGTTGGAAGTTTGGAGCAAGGACGGACCCATGGGTGGCATGCGTGTGGAGGAGCTGGACTGGACGGCTTGGCGCCAACGGCGAGACTCTCTCACTCGCACTCCCCTTTCCGCTGCTGATGAAAGTGAACGAACCTACCGTGCTGCGGAAGACTACGCGGCGCTGATCCCGTATTTCCGCAGGACGTCCAAGCGTCGGGTCGTCCCCATGAACACCGCTCCCGCTGAGATCTGGGACCTGTGCATGTCGGCGGACAAGGAGACGCTCCCTGGGCGACAGGGACTGGGCTTCGCATCTCCTCCTGTGTGTATGAAGATTTTCAAGGAATTGATGCTGCTCGGGCTCACTGAGATCAGGCGCACCAACCTGGCCCCTCTATATTGGTCCCGCAGCGTGGGACATGGACTTTACAAGGGTAACTCAAAGCCCGGGGCGCTCGGCAAACGTGTGATTCACTCGCTGCCTGCGATCAGCAGAGGTCTCTTTGCGCGTCGCCTCAAGATCCAGGTCCCTCTCCAGGCTTACGGATTCATACACACAGACGTGCACACCCCCCCTCATCACCACCCGCCTCCCCCTTCCACGCCCGGTGGCTTTCGGATCATACCTCGGGGCTCCGACGGCCGCTCGGGACGAGGCCGGGCACCCCCGAAGCCGCGGCCAGCCGAGGGCGCCCCGGGGCGGGAAAGCCCAAAGAGCCAGCAGAAACTCCCCCTTCCCCCCTCCGACGGCGATGCGCCCCTGCATCGGCGCCCCCCTCCTCGATGATGTACCATTCAAGCTGGGAGTCGCGCGAGGGCCAACCTGCGCCAGGCGAGCCACCGCGCGAAACCTTGGAATGCGCCGAGGATGGCGAGACCTGTGCTGCACCTTGAGCCGACGCGGGCGGGCGCCGGCAACCGTCGCGGAAGACGGCCCTCTAAAGAGCTGCGGCGGTGGCGCCGTGGCGCCGGAAACTGCTGCTGGGTTACTCTCAGAAGTCGCTGTCCGCGTGTTTTACAACGTTGGCATCGCGCCGCGCCTTGGGCCCAACGGATGGCAGCACAGTTCGAATATGCGCTGCACGGGGCGGCGGCGCGGTGGACGTCGCGAGCGTCGAAGCCCCCCCTGGATCGGCCTGCCGGCTCCCACCTTTTTGCACGGCGGCCGCACTGCTGGCGTTGCTTGTGAGCGGTGGCCCGTCTGCTCGTCGAAGGACAGGGCCTGCCCGCTTCCCTCCTCGACTCTGGGCGCAAAGGCAGGGGGACAACTACCCACCGATACCTCCACCTTGTCCTCCGCGTTGATGTGCGCCCGCTGTCGGTGTTGATGATCGGCATCAGGTCTCCCTCCGCGCCATCGCGGAGGTTTGCCTCCAAGGCGAAGATGGAAGCGTCGTCGCGAACCTCGGGAACTGCCACGCCGCTCTTTAGCTCGTCCTCCCTGCTGTCCGCGTCCTTTCCTGTGCCGCTCTCCCCCTTGCTTTTGCTGATCTCGCGCAGCTGGTCCTTCGTGACCTTGCCTGGTTTGGTCTCCGCGTCCGCTTGCCTGCGCTCCTTGGGTTTGCGGCCCTTCGTGTGCAGTAGCTGCGCGGCTCGTTTGCTGCGTTGGCCCCTCCTGTAATGCTTCTGCCGCCTCGCTCGTCTTTGTCCGTGCCGCGCCCAGCCTTACCCTTGTCGCGAGCAAAGCTTAGAACTTAGAGTGTTGATGTGCATTGCCGGTGGACCATCCTTCACATGAACCGCTGGCCGAGCCCTCGGGTAGTTAATGACCTCTGACATGACCGAACGAACCGGCATGCCTCCAACCTCGTCGCGTTCAACATCAAGTGGTCCCTGAACGCCACAGGGGCTCTCCTCCTACTGAGCACACTCTTGAGAATACTTGCTGGCAGCTGCTGCGCCGTCGGACCCTCGCACCTCTTGAGCCTCTGCTCCCACGTCACGATCGCTTTGATCGGGTCATCGTCTACCATGCTGGAATCCGCCGGCCCCCTTGCGGGGCCACCAGGCTGCGAGGAGCGGGATTCGCAGTTTCCTGTGCCAGTTGTAGCTTGTAGTTTCCAGTGTTACATATGCTTATTGCTGGTTACTGTAACTGGTTGATTGACCGCGCGAGCGGGGGGAGGCCCAAACCGGCTTTTTAGCACCCCCTGGGCGCGTTGTCTGAATTGCTGGGGGGGCTCGAAATGGACACCCTTCACGCAGATCCGCGGGGTCAGGGTCCAAAAACACAGGGGATTTGCCACATTTCTAAAATTCGGTGCCACCCCTCACGCAGATCCGCGGGGTCAGGGTCCAAAAACACAGGGGATTTGCCACATTTCTAAAATTCGGTGCCACCCCTCACGCAGATCCGCGGGGTCAGGGACCAAAAAACCCAGGAGATTTGCCACATGTCTGACAATTTCGGTGCCCACCCCTCCTCGCAGACCGCCTGGCGTCCCAGGGTCCCCCCAAAAACACATGGGATTTGCCACATTTCTGAAATTCGGTGCCACCCCTCACGCAGATCCGCGGGGTCAGGGTCCAAAAACACACAGGATTTGCCACATTTCTGAAATTCGGTGCCACCCCTTACGCAGATCCGCGGGGTCAGGGTCCAAAAACACACAGGATTTGCCACATTTCTGAAATTCGTTCATGAAATTCGGTTGCACCCCTCACGCAGATCCGCGGGGTCAGGGTCCAAAAACACAGGGGATTTGCCACATTTCTGAAATTCGGTGCCACCCCTCACGCAGATCCGCGGGTCAGGGTCCAAAAACACAAGGGATTTGCTACATTTCTGAAATTCGGTGCCACCCCTCACGCAGATCCGCGGGGTCAGGGTCCAAAAACACAGGGGATTTGCCACATTTCTGAAATTCGGTGCCACCCCTCACGCAGATCCGCGGGGTCAGGGTCCAAAAACACACGGGATTTGCAACATTTCTGAAATTCGGTGCCTCCCCTCACGCAGATCCATCGCAAGGCGTGGTAACCCAAACTGCGAGAACTACCTCGGCCCTTTAATCGCAAGGTGTGGTAACCAAGCCCGTAAACCATACACGTCTTACCAATCGCCAGGTGTGGTAACCCCTCTTGTGATCAGTTGGTTTTGCTGATTGCGAATCGGCTTCGCATGAAGTTTCGATACTGCTTCACGACCGCGCCAAGGCCTCATGACTTAGCTCTTCCATGGCCCATTCTCCGAGAGAGGGGGCCGGCGGCTGGGGGCGAAGCCCTTACGGATATAGCGCCTGGCCTAGAACATGCCATGGAAACGACTCGCTACCTTCGGCTCGAACTCCTGGCGCAGGCGATGCCACGCTTGGAATACGGCTCGCTCGGGCACCGACTGCACGATGCCAAGCGCCTTCTCCTTACACTGCAACGCCAGTATGTAGAATATTGCCGCTGATGCACCTTCAGCTTGGCTGTCCAGCTCTTCATTGTCCAACTCGTCCGAATCGATCGACTGACGCTTCTTCCACATTTCCGACAGCCCCGGGTCTACGGACTGGCAGTATGTCTTCAACACCAACGACCACCCAGTCAACGCGATTCCGTCTCGAGGCGTGCCATTCTCGCCCGTGTCGCCTGAGAGTGTCGATGGCTTGCCCAATAATCATGTGTCCACGGATGCCGTGCTCTCCCGAGGTGCCTACTGTCTATCAAATCTGTCATCCAAGCGTCCGAGAATCGCCCCTTGGTTATGCTGATGCTCTTGGCGATCGCCTCTCACAGACCGAACCTGTTCAGCTGCTTTCCGAAGCGCTTGACGTTCCGAGCCGATGGGCTGCTACTGGTCGTTGAGCGTGCCCCGCTGCGTCTGCAGCTGCTCCTCGAACCTCTGCAGTCTCGTGTGCATCTGCCTGCACATGCTCCTCCATGGCGGCTGGCTGCTATATCTGAGATCTCTTCTGGCTAAGAGCGGCCCCTGGAACGAACCAGGCTCCAATACCATCTCGGGATGGCGGCGATACCCCTATTCTCCCTTGAGCCAAAGCATGGCAGATCACTCCGAACATGCATCGCACACGCATTCAAAATTCGGGACAAGTGCGCAGTAAATCCAGACCGTGCGTCCGCCTCCTCGACGCCCCCCCTCCTCCACGGTGAGGGGCCACGACCAGGGGGACAGGCTCAAGTGGAGGGAAGCCTCGACCCTCCATCGGCGATCCCTGGGCGACTGGGAGCCGATGCGTCCCCCCCTGGGCCTGTCCCCCCCTCCCCTAAACGCTGCCCCATCTGGCCATCGCTCGGACGTCCATTCCCTGTGTTTTTTTCGGTTTCGTGCGTGGTTTTTCCGCCAAATGATCAAGGATGCTCCTCGATGGTCCTCGCCGAAGGGAAAATGCACACGTCCGAGCGATGCCCAGCCCCTCCCCTAAACGCTGCCCCGATGGGACTTCCTGGCCAGCGGCCGCGAGAAAGGTCAGACAGCGGTCGAGCAGCGGCAGGGCGCGCCAACAGCCGGCGGAGCCCGGGGAGAGGAGAGGACGCGCCGAGGCGCGAGGCGGCCGCAGCGAGGCGGGGAGGCGACGGCGCCGCGAGCTCGGGCCATCAAGGTCTGCGTGCGCGCGCCCAGGTGCCGCCGGTGCCCCCGACACGCCCCGCCCCCGGACGCCCCCCGGAGCCCTGCCCGCCCGCGCCGGCCGCCCCCCGGGAGCGGCCGGGCGCGGCGCCCGGGTGCGCCATCATCTTCGCCTGCGCCGCAGCCTTCGCCGGGGCCGGGGCGCCCTTGGGCTTCGCCGGCTGGGGCGCCTGGCGGGGGCGCTTTCTCGCTCTCTCGCTCCTCGTCCTCCACGTCCATCCGCCTCCTGCTCCTTCCTCCTCCTCCTCCTTCTCCTCCTCTTCCTCCTCCTCCTCCCTCCTCTTTCTCCCTCTTCCTCCTCCTCCTCCTCCGCCTCCTCTTTCTCCCCCTTTTCCGTCTCCTCCTCATCCCTTGTCCTCGTCTTCGTCCTCATCTTCGTCCTCGTCTTCGTCGTCCTCCTCCTCCTGCTCATGCTGCTCCTCCCGCTGCTCCTCCTGCTGCTCCTCCTCCTCCTCATTCTCCTCGGCTTTCTCCTCCTAACCTCCTCTTGCTGTTGGCATGGCTCCTCTTTGTCGCATCGCCACGCGCGCTAGCGGGGTGCGACGGGGGCCTCGCCTGGTGCTTGCTTACATTATGTTCGCCAAAGCTGCACATCTCCGACAGGAAGACGGACGGAGGTCGGGTTGCCTTCCACTCGCCTTAGCCTTTCGCACTGCGCACCTTTGTTTTACGCATCCCGCCAGTAACATGGAGGGTTCTGGCCCTAGCGTCGCGCAAGTTCTCTTTTCGCACACTCCAGCTGTTACACCAGTGGAGGCGGGAGGGTCTCAAAACCGCGGCCCTCGCCTGAGAGCCGCGCTCATTCAAAAGTCCGAAGCAGCTACAGGGATGGAGGGGATCTCTTTTCAGAATGGGGCCATCGTCCTCGAACTGCACTGCTCAAGCGGGTGGTGCCTCCTTTTCAAGATTGGGCTCCTGCTTCCGGCTTATGTAGGATCGGAAACTTGACAAGGCTCTCCGTGGCCTGGCGTGTGGAACTACGCCACAGCTGCACGCATGGAAGGCGGCTCCTTCTCAAAATTAAGCTCAAGCGGCCAGAGGTGGAAAAGGGGCTGCATTTTTTCAAACGGAGGCTCTCGCCAGAATCCGTGCCCGCGCCCGTGCGAATATCGAGTGCTAGAGGGCTGGTTGATTGACAGGTCGGGGTTTTTCGAAATTCTGCAGAGCCCAACCCGCACCCGTCGCAAGCGTCGTCGCAAAGCCGCCTGCCCACGATTGGCGCCTGGGGCCCGTCAGCAGAGGGCCAGGCGCGCCCGCACGCCGGAAAGTCATGCGTCTTGCTGGGCCCGGCCAGCGCCACGGACACCGCCATGCATGGCAGCTGCACGGCATCGGCCCGCTCCCTTCTCCTCCTCCTCCTCGTCCTCCTCCTCCTCCTCCTCCCTCGCTTCTCGTTCATCCTCCTACTACTCATCCTCCTCGCTCCTCCTTCTTCTCCTCCTCCTCCTCCTCCTTCTCCTCCTCCTCCCCCCACTCTTCCTGCTCGTTATCATCTCCTCCACCTCCTCCTCCTCCTCCTCAGCCTCCTCATTATCATCATCACCGTCATCATCATCAGCATCATCATCTTTATTATCATCACCATCATCATGATCATCAGCATCATCATCAGCATGGTCGTCATTATCATCAACAACATCAACACCAATATCACCAGCATCATCATCATCATCATCATCATCATCATCATCATCATCATCATCATCATCATCATCATCATCGCGTTCGTCCTTCGCATCATCATCAGCAGCAGCATCATCATTATCATCAGCATCATCATCAGGATCATAATCATGATCATCATCATTAGCATCATTAGCATCATTAGCATCATTAGCATCACCATCATCGTCATCGTCGTTGTATTCGTTATTGTCGTCCTCGTCGTCGTCCTTGTCGCTATTGTTATCGTCGTCGTCATCATCATCAACAGCATCATCATCAGCATCATCATCATCCTCATCATCATCATCATCATTGTCATCAGCATCGTCATCATCACCATCAGTATCATCATAATGATCATCAACGTAATCATCAGCAGCATAATATTCAACAGCATCAGCAGCATCATCGTCATCATCATATCCTCTAGCAACATAATCCTACTCGTCCTCATCATTTCCGTTATCATCATTATCATCATCACCATCATAATCGTCGTCGTCGTCGACATCATCATCATCATCACCACCATCATCATCATCATCATCATCATCATCATCATCATAAACATCAAGATCATGATCATCATCATGATCACCATCATCCGCAGAATCAAAATCACCATCATCAACATCATCAACATCGTCAGCACCGCCGTCGTCGTCCTCGTCCTCGTCCTCGTCCTCCTCCTCCTCCTCCTCCTCCTCCTCCTCCTAATCATCATCATCATCATCATCATCATCATCATCATCATCAGCATCGCCATCATCATCAGCAGCATCAGCGGCGGCAACAGCGTCATCAGCAACATCTTCATCAGCATCATCATCAGGATCATCAGCACATTCGTCATCATAATCATAATCATACTGATCAGCAGCAGAATAATAATCATGTGCATCACCACCATCATCATCATAACCATCATTACTATTATCATCATCATACGTGTCATGGTCATCGTACTAATCATAGACATCATCATCAGCATCAGCATCATCATCATCATTAGCATCAGCATCATCATTAGCATTCTGGTCAGCATCATCATTTCCATCGTGATCGTCATCGCCATCACCAGTATTAGCAGCGCCACAATCACTATTGTCATCAGGAACATCATCATCGTCATCATCAGCACTGTCGTCATCGTCAGCATCGTCAGCATCATCATATCATCACCATCATCAGCATCATCATCACCATCAACATCGTCGTTGTCCTCGTCCTCGTCCTCGTCCTCGTCCTCGTCCTCGTCCTCGTCCTCGTCCTCCTCCTCCTCATCATCAGCACAAGCAGCATCCTCATCAGCATCATAACCATCATAGGCATCATCATAGGCATCATCATCAGCATCATCATCATCAGCATCATCCATCATAGGCATCATCATTAGCATCATCATTAGCATCATGATGATGATCATCATCATCATCATCATCATCATCAGCAGCAGCATCAGCATCAGCATCATCATCACCCAAGTATTCATTCCTACTCGTCTTTCTCGCTCCTTATCGTCGCTCCTCGTTCCTCCTTGCTCCTCCTCCTGGCTCCTCCTCGCTCCTCCTCCCCCTCCCCCTCTGGCACTCTCGCACGCTGCCCGGCGCCTTCTTCGGCTCGGGCTTGGCCGGCTCCCCCTTAACCCTGGGCTTGTAGGTCCCGTCCTCCAGGGCCACGACGTCCGACTTGGTCCTGGGGGGCGGAGGCCCGACTGCCGGCTGCTGGCTGCCGGCGCGAGGGGGGGGGGGCGCGGATGAGAACAAGAGGAGGACGACGAGCAGGGCAGGAATGGGGGTTGGGAGGAGGTGAACGAAGGATGAGGACGAGGAGGCGGAGGAACCCAAAAGTGTGGGGGAGGAGGAAGATGAGGAGAAGGACGGGGATGAGAACGGCGACGAGGAGGGAAAGGAGGGATGGCGAGGGGTGTGGAAGGGAAGGAGGCAGAAGAAAACATTAGCGGAGGTCGAACACAATGGTTTCAAAGGGAAGGATACGAGGAGGATGGGGGACATGAGGATGGTAAAAGAGGGTGGGCAAGACACTGACTGACAAAAAAACACGCTCAACCGATCGAGAATATTGAACAAAAAGCTCGCGCGCGCTGGCCTGCAAGGCCCGCTCGCGCCTGAAAAAGCCCGGTGTGACAGAGCGCCGCCCACACGAGATAACCCCTTCCGCGTTCATAGCGCAACTCGAAATCGGCAGCGCATCCTGCGCAGTAGCCAACGCTTGTTTCGACCGCCACCCGCGCACGAGGTCTTGGTGGCCCACTGCAGAGACCCACGGGCTGAACAGAACCAATGCCCGCTGCGATCCGCGGCAGGCTGACGCCACGTATGCACCAAACCGAGAAACAACAGGCACATCAAGGAGTTCCGGAACGCTCTGAGAGCGTTTCGGGACGCTCTGGGGAAACCACCAAACGGTACCGATACCGCCACTCCCCGGACCTCTCCGGGGGCCCGTTCTGACCAGCATTGCGAGGCGAATCCAGCGGTGGCCAGCCTCCCAGGGAGACCCACAAAAGGGGAAACGGGCGAAGGTCAGCAGTATGGGGTACAGTGCGGGCGCGGCCGCAAGAAACCCTCGCAAGAAACCCAACCCTGAGAGCCCGTGCGAGCACCCTGAACGTAGCAGCCCCTTCAACGTCTGCGGGAAGTCACCGCGCAGCGCGAGGAGCGAAGAAACCCAGGATACCCCGACGAAAAGCATGTGGTTTCTTGATGCGCGGTCGCCAAATCCATGGATCGGGGGAGGGTGCCATCCCCAAAATGCGGCCGGTGCCGCCTCATTCGGCGGCGGAAATCCGCGATTTCCAATGGAAACGGGGCCCGTCGCTAATCCACGCCCCCCTGACCCATGGTTGCGATCGCCTGAAAAAGGGAAAACGGGCGGAGGCCAGCAGTATGGGCCACCTCTTCCTCCTCCGAGTGCCGTGCAAAGGCGTGCCCCGGGGCCAATCGGCGGCGACGATGGCGGGGCGAATAGCCCAAGGGCGGGCATTACACGCAGTCGCCCGGGAGCCTTTTCGAAGACATACAGCCAGCGCGGGCCAGCTCCTAGCAGCCACCGCTCGGAGCTTTCAGCCAGCCGCCCTACGCCCTCGTTCTGCACTGAGCGTGGCACCCCCGCCCGGGCAGTGGCCTCTCTGACCGCTCCCCCGCCCCCTGCCCTCGCGGCTCTCTCACATCGTACACCCCCTCGGTGCCCCGCCTCGGGCCCCCGGCAACTTGCTCGGCGCACCCGAATGCATGCATTGCTCTCCCCATGGGCTATTCGCCGCCAGCGTTGCTCGCCATGGCAGGCCTGCTTTGCAGTGTCGCCGTCCTCACGAGCGGGGCGTGACGCTTTGAGGCGTCCGATCGGACCTCTGCTCGCTTCCTTGGGGCTATTCGCCCCCCTCGTCCGCCTCTGGGCCGGGGCGGGGGGCGGCCGCTCGTGGCGCGGCGTGCCCCGCCTCGTGCGCGCCCCCCTCCCGCTGCCGGGGCGGGAGCGCCGCGCTCGTGCGCGCGGGGCGCCGAGCGCCGGGCGCCGGAGCCCCGGGGCGGCGAGGCACGTCGGGAGGGGCCCTCTGGGATGGCCGAGAGAGATGTGTTGTAGCATGTAGCACACATATAGTCAACATAATAGGCACAGCTAATGGGACACACAGCTATGCCGTGCCCGCTCGCTGGTGTGTCCCATAGCTATGGGACGCACCACAACGAGCGCACTGGCGGGCAGGCGCCGCTGCCTGGCGTACGCGATGCGCATCGGCTTGTCCAGAAAAGGGAACCTGGGGCCGCCCCATCAGCGCCGTCCGAGCCCCTCCCTCTCTCTCTCTCTCTCTCTCTCTCTTGCCGCGCCCATGCCCGTGCTCCCGTCCCTCCCGCCTCGCTCCCTGGCTCCCAGGCTCCTCCCTCCCCCTCTTCTCGCTGCTCCTCCTCGCCCTCCTTCTCCCCTCTCCCCCGCTTCTGTTTCTTTTCCAGCCTCCTCCTCCTCCTCCTCCTCCTCCTCCTCAGCTCCTACTCTTACATCCTCCCCCGCCTTCTCCTGCTTCTCCTTTACCGACCCTCCTCCCCCCTCTCTTCTCATCCCCCTCGCATGGGGGACGGGGGGGGCCCTGGGGCAGGAGAGCTGAGGGGATTGGGCTTGGCGGGAGGGGAGCCGACGACTGCTGCAACCGGCGCGAGGTGCTGCCCTGGACCTCCTGCCGGCCCCGCGTGCCACTGGGCCACCAGCTCCACCCATCCGCCCTGGAACCCCAGGGCACCGAGGGCTGCTCACGTCCAGAGCCCCCGCTCCTCCGAGGCAGCGGGGCGGCGGGCGCCGAGCCTCGCCTGCCCTGCCCCCCTGGGCTGCCGCGCCGCCCCCCCGGCTAGGCTGCCGCGCCGCCGCCCCGGCCGCCGCAACGGGCCGGCGAGACGACGGGGCGAGCAGGCGAAAGCGGCAGGCCGGCGGGGCAGCCAGGGGCTGGCGGAGCCGTGCCTGGCCGGCCCGCCGGGCGCCAGGCTCCACGTGGGCAGGGGGCCCGCGGGGCCCGAGGTCCGGCGCAGCGAAGGAGAATCGGGGGCGGCCAAGAGGGGGGCGTCCAAGAGGGGGGGGCGCACATCACGGCCAGCGGCACGTGCGCGGCCCAGGGGGGGGGGGCCGGGGACGTGTTGGAACAAGAAGAGGCGCCATGAAATCTGGGGAAGTATCATGGCCCACGCCATGGTATCCACCAACCCCTAGTCATCACCCCCCCCTCTTGGCCGCCCCCCAGAGAAACGAAGCACATCGCGCGTGGAGTGTCCTGTCCGAGCCAGGGCCCAGGACCCCGCCTGCCTGCGTCATTCTTCGGGCCGCCTCGATCTCTGCGGGCCCCGGTGCCCGAAGCCGGGCAGAGCCGCCCAGCACGAGCAAGCATGGAACGCCGGGATCTCAGGGCAGATCCCCTCTGGCGAACGAGGAGTCGAGCCGGCCCACGCGCGGGCGGGGCAGATCGCGGAGCAACGGCGCGGGAACGCGCGGCTGGCGGCCGCCACGCGCGCCGGCGCCTCGCGGAAGCTTCCCGTGCGGAAGCCAAGGCGGCGTCGGCGCGCATTGTTACTGCAACTGGGCTCACACTCGCGAGGAGGGCGAGAAAATCAACAAGGGCGCCTAACAAGGCGCTTCGCGCTACGAGAAGCGCGAAGCGCGGACGACTTCGCGCTCTCGTGCCGCCACCCAGGGGAGAAGAGGAGGAGGATGAGGAGGAATCGGAGCCCAACCGCTAAGCGCGAATAACTTCGCACCCTCGACGGCGCCAGCATCTTTAGACCTCTCTCCATCCCCACTGGCTGTCCGACCAAGCCCACCTCCCTGCACACGTGGGGACACACGCCGTCTCCGTCGGGCTTCGCGACACCAGGCCCCACCTCGAGAGGGCAGGCCGGTGGCGCTGAGGAGCCTTGGCCCACTGGGGATGGGGACAGGCCTGACGATGCTGAGAGGAAGGAATGCCCGACCCCACCCTCCCCGTCTCCCAGGTCACCTACCTTCGCGCTTCGCCGTGCTCGAAGCGCGAAGCGAGACAAACTTCGTGCCGTCGCGCCCCCCCCACGGGGCAGAACTGCCTCCTGGTCAGGCTGGGTGGAGATGAGGACGGCATAGGAGGAGGACGACAGAGGAAGGAGGACGAGGACGACGAGGGAGGAGGAGGAGGAGGAGGAGGAGGAGGAGGAGGAGGAGGAGGAGGAGGAGGAGGAGGAGGAAGAGGAGGAGGAGGAGGAGGAGGAGGAGGAGGAGGAGGAGGAGCAGCAGGACGAAGAGGAGTTTTTTTCCATCCCATCACGTCAGGTTCGTGCCGTGCCGACCCCAGCGCTGGTTTCTGACGCCGCGGGGACCGTTCAACCTTCAGAACGATCGGCCGTTTCCGAAACGTCCAAATCGTTCCACATCGAACGATTCTGGGTCGCCCGCGGCGTTCAAAGCTGAACGCCGCTGGCGGGGTCGCCGCTGGTCGGCACGACACGAACCTGCCGCACCCCCTGTAAAGCATCCACGGGCCTCGGGCGGAAAGCCCCTGACCCAGGCAGCGGGAGCAGCCTGCAGAATCACTAAGCGCGTGAGGCGTGGCCGCAGGGAAAAGGAAGGATGGGCCGAGGGCGCGGGGGTCGGCAAAGGCACTGGCGGTGCACGAAGGTGGCGCGCCCACGGCGTTCGAGAACCTCGCCCGCAGCTCGCCGTCGAGCCCCGTCGAAGCCGGCGGCGTGCACCCGGCGTGCGCGACGTTCACCGTGTCCCCCGTCCCGAGCACGCCGCTGCGACAGCAGTCGCCCGCGCGGCACGGGTCGCCGTGCCTGGGCGTGCCCACGCGGCAGGCCTCGATGCCACAGCCGGCCCGTGCACTGTCGCATCAAAGGGGCCCCGGGGGCCCCCGATCGCTTCCCGGAAGTGCAGTGCGGCGTCGCAACCGCGCCGGCGGCGCGGCAGAGCGCGTGCGTGCAGGCCGCCGGCGTGCACGAGGTCGCATCGTCCGTGTCGACGCCCAGCAGCCCGCGCGCAAGACCGCGGTGCGAGCTCGGCTGTCCAGGGCGGCCGCGCTGCCAAGCGATCCACACGGGACACGGGAAATGGTGTTCCACTGAATCGACCGCCGTCGCAGAGCATCCGAATACGCACGGGCCTGGTCGGCCCCGCAGGCTGAGCGTTCCGTAGTCCATCTGTTGAAGACGCGGTTCCTATCGAGACGCAAGGAGGAGGAGGAGGAGGAGGAGGAGGAGGAGGAGTCTCTTTCTGGCGCAGGCCCGGTGGGCGGCCCCACGTAGAAGCAAAGCCGTTCATTTCGGTCTTGCAACTCACGTGCCAGGAAGTTCAGCTCCGACTGCTGAGAATGCATGGCTCCGCCGACTTCTGATTACGACGGCAATTCATGGGCCCATGCCGACGGCTGCGAGCTGCCAAAGACCTCACCGACGTTAACTCCTCCCTCTGGTTTGATGGCCCTGGTCAAGAGCGGGTCACGCGTGCGGGAATCTGCTCACCAACGCCCTCCTCCTCGTCCTTCTCCTCCTTCTCCTCCTTCTCCTCCTCCTCCTCCTCATCTTCCTCCTGTTCCTCCTCCTCCTCTCCCTCATGCTCCTCCTCCTTATCCTCCTTCTCCACCGCCTCCTCTAGGGAAATCAACATGTACCGATACTGCTACTACCCGGACCGCTCCTGGGGTGCTATCTGACCTGAAACTCGAAGCGAAGCCAGGCCCCCAAAAGGAGGAAAAACAGGTAAGGGTAGCAGTACCAGTACTTTTTCCTCCGCCTCCTCCTCCTCCTCCTCCTCCTCCTCCTCCTCCTTCTGTGCGCGCTCCCCCCGAGGCATCGGGAGAGCCCCTGCAGCGCTCTCAGGGCGTTGGTCGCGCAAGAGATGTCCCTGTAGACCACAAACGCCTGCGCTCTTCCGCCTCCAACCCTGCACTGAGCACTGCGACAAATGCACAGTACCATGTCTCGGTGGCGTGACAAGGACGAGGACCGACGAGGCCAGGACGAGGACAAAAAACGGACGGGGGAAATCGGGGATCTCTGAGATCTGGCGATTCTGGAGGATGCATCGGGCCGACCTTTGGAACGCTCTGAGAGCGTTCTGGAATGCCCTGGAACGACTTATCCTTGCGGCGGCGTGCGAGGTGGGAAAGTGAGAATGAGAATGCCCTCTCAGAAGAAGGCGACCCCCCAGGCTTCTGAGAGGTTTTTTGTCTCTTCGGGGAAGGCTCAGAGAACTTCTCAGAAGGCCGGGGGATTTCCCACTTCCCAGCCTAATAAGAATGCCCGCCCCTTTCCAATTCTCCCCTAGGGTTCGCCGCCGAATGCCTGGACTCCCTTCGGGCCACGCTCCAGCGCAGCACGGTGCATAGTTCTGTGGCTTTGAGGGCCGAAGACCACTCGCCGCACCATTCCGAGGTCGTTGGGCGCCAATTACTGGGGGGGGGATAAATGGCGTGTGGGGGGGGGGGATGTGCCCCTTTCGGGCCCTGCAGGGCCCCCTTTCTGGGCCCGAAAAGGCCCCCCTTCTGAGGGGCCCTGAAGGGTCCCCTTTCGGCAGCCTTCGCTGCCCCCCCGATGTGTGACGACACTGCAGATCAAGGCGCAAATCTGTCATGCGTTTTTTCTGGCCGTTGACACTTGGGACCTCTCACGTGGGCTTTATGGCCGCCCTCACCGCTGAGCCGATACGCTGCACGCTTGACCCATGTACCGCCCCCCCGTTACGGCAGGTTCGCGCCGTGCCGACCCCAGCGCTGGTTTCTGCCACCGCGGGGATCGTTCAACCTTGAACGATCGGCCGTTACAGAAACGTCCAAATCGTTCCACATCGAAAGATTCTGGGTCGCCCGCGGCGTTCAACGTTGAACGCCGCTGGCGGGGCCGCCGCCGGTCGACAAGACACGAACCTACCGCGCGCGCCCTCCGAAGGTCGAGGATCGACTGCGCCTCCGGAGACGCCAACGCTGCCACGGTGCGCACAGGTCGTCCGCGGATGTTGCCTCCCGCCCCTCCTCCTCGGCGAGGGGGCTCTCCGCCCGAAGATGGTGCTGATGGTGACGACGACGACAACGACGACGACGACGACGACGACGACGATGATGATGATGATGATGATGATGATGTAGGTATGATCCTCGAGACGGGTCTCGGCCCTGACGAGATTTGGGACAAGCGGCGGACTACAATGATACACCGTGCAGACAGTGCGCAACCCAACGTCATTATAAAACTGTTTCATGCTATGGTACTAAAGCTCTGGAGATCGCGCAACAAAGTTCCATGGTTGGGTGAGGTGGGGACAGCGAGAAAGAAAGGACTCCCACCTCCAAGTGCGAAGCTTACGCGGGTGGCCTTGTCGGCCGCGAGTACGGGCCGCCTCTTGCCGACGAAGGAACCTGGCATCGCGAAAATGGGGGACCTGTGGGGTCAGGCGGGCGGGGTCGCTCTCACTCATTTGTTCAAGATGTCCTGCTCACCGATACTGTACTGTCTCTAGATAGTCGTCCCAGTCGAGGATATCGAGTCTTTCCCTCATCGTGTTGATCTTTCCACGCGCACGGTGCATGAACCGGCCCCAGGGCTCTTCCGAAGTCTTTCTGGAACCGAAAACTCTTCTGCGCATGGTGTCCTGGGCGCCTCTGAGCTCTGCGAACTGGTTCTGGGCGCCCACCCTTTGGCCCCCCAAAAGAGACCGTTGCGCGCGATGCTGTCGCACAAGAGGAGCCGCTTCCCCACGGGTGAGTGGCGCTGGCAGAAGACCGAGCGCCACTGTAACCAAGTCTTCCAAGCCTGGGGCATTCTGCACTCCATGGCCGTCTCGTCACGCCCCCAGCGTGAAAGCATCGCCCCTGAAACTTTGATGCCCTCGTTTCTCGGGATTGCGGTGATCTCTTGGCCCCGGGTGCTGACAGATTCGTCCCATCAGTGCGCCGAGGCAAAAGACGTGCTGGACCATTGGCACTCTGCGAGGTCCACCTCGCAGCCTCCCCCCCTCAAATCTGGCGCCAGCTTTCCGCCGTGATTTTCATCTCCCTTCGGGCGCGGCCAAGGGCCCAGAAACTGCCCGCGAAACACAGGATCGGAACAGAGGTCCTCGGAGGGTCGGGGGAAACTTGCCAGCGGACGCCCCGCTTGTATTTCTCGCGCCGCCTGACGAAAATCACGATCAGGCTGTCGAGACGTAGGTTTTAGAAGGAGAGGAGCTGCAGGGCGCCCCTACACCAGCGAACGAACGCGCCCCACCGGGGCAGAACATGCGAGGCCGCCCAGGGAGACAGTCACAGCCATCTTGCCAATCTCTCTAAACCAGCCCGCCAATCGCATCTTTGGCATTCCGCGTTTAGCCCCCGCTATAGCTACTCCCCCTCTATCTGTAGTCGCGGGCCTTCAGGATGCCACCCGCGATCGTGAAGAGGAGGTCTTTCGGGGTCCCACTAGTTGCCTTTCTCAAAAAGCTGCATGAGGATAATCTCACTTCTTCGGCCTGGAAACATGTCCTGCAAGCAAACTGGCACGTCGAGTATTGCTTTTGTTCTGGACTAAGTAGAAGTAGCAGTGCGCGGCTATGCCACGTGCACATCACTGGCAGTGGCGCGGCGGGTCGCAAGTCCGCGATGCCCCCAGTCTTTGCGAAGCCGGCCCCGGTGAGAAGAATTATCGCCCGGGCCCCCCGCGCGCCGTCGGCCTGCCCCCGCCCCCCCCCCCCCCCCCGAGAGTTCAGGGGGCGGTGTCGGGGCCATTCCGCAACGCATTCAAAAGCCTGCTCGGGCAGCTGCGCTAGCACCTCCACCGCCGCCCCATCCAGCTTAGATCCCCGCCTACCCATCTTCATTTTGAATAGCGCATCCTGAACCCACCCACGATCCAGAGCTCTGAGAGCATTCGAGGCGGACGGGCCCCAGTGACGTCGCAGCCACGGCGGGCCCTTCGTCGACGACGCGGGCGGGGCCGGGGGCGCTGAAGACGAGGGCGAAGGGGCCTCGTTTCCTAAAAGCACCGAAAAGAAATCCGCTCGTATCTTTGGTTGCTGTCGAGTCGTCGTCGCCGTCGAGGTAGCGTCGTCCAGGGCCCAGTTCAGCTCGGGGATTCGGGGGCGGTCTTTGGGTTTCGACCGGGAATCGTCTCGCCCCCAGGGCCTCATTCAGTTTTGCCGATGACCGCTCTGGAGATCTGCCGTCTAGCTGGACGCAGCTCCTCAGCTAGGTGCTTGCGCGTGTGGCCCCCCGCCCCCACGCGCAGATGTCGCCATCAATGCGCGGCCCGCGCTGCCAGGGGATGGCCCCGCGGGGCCGCGCCCGGAGCGCCTGGGACAGCCTCGACCACGTCGAGGAGCAACGCTAGCTACCACGCTCGTGAACTGGCCCAGGGTCGTTTTATTTTTTCTTTTCATCTGCGCCCGCGCGCGGCATGGGCGAGGGAAGCGTCGTCTCCGAGAAGTCCCCGATGAGGGGCGACGGGCAGCTGACTTCGAGCCATTTGTTGGCGTTGCATCTGCTCGTGAATCGTAGACTGAGCTGCTGGGCGCCACCCGGCAGGGATAACATCTTCTTGGGCTCAGTCCACCTGAGCTGGACGAGTCCACTTCGGTACATGAGCTTCGAGCTTGGATCCTTGTTTGGCTAGGTAATCCGAGAAATCGCCCGCGACGTTATCGGCCTGGCGCGAGCGGTGCCTGACGAAATCCACGCGATTGTATTTGCGAGCTTGCTGGTAAAGCTGCCGAACGAGATAAGCCAGGATAGCGTTTTCGTGCGGTCGCATCTTGCCCTCGGCGGCTAGGATCGCATATTTCGCGTTGACGTGGACGCGCGAGATGCTTCCAAAAGGGGCCAGGAATCTGTCGGACCACCATCGCGTACGGGTACCTGGTAGAGCCGATGGAGCTAGTTGATGCTGCCCCTCTTTCAGAAGCCAAAAACTGAACTCGATCGAGGCCGCGATCTCGGCCGCGCCGTTGGTCCTGCGAGCAGCACCTAAGAAGGCCTCGTGCTGCGGGTCGTCCGCTGCGGGCCCACTGGCGAACAGCAAAGCCTCAGACCTGACGGCAGGGGCATCGCATCCCTGAAGCTGTTGGTCCCACTCTGTTCGGAATCCGGCGCCCCTTGGTGAAGCTCCCGTCAGTTTAGACGTGCCGGGCCCAGGGGCCCCTTTCAGGTTCGGGCTCTTGTCCTGGAAAAAGAAGGAGCCCCACTCCTTGCATTCCCCGCCCCGACGCGGAACGGCCTGCGCGGAACCTGCGCGGCGGGAGCTGCACCTTGAATTTCCGCGGCGCGACGCAGATCGGTCTGCGGTCAGACTCCGTTGCCGCGGACGCAAGCAAGGACGCGTCAAACTTGATCGGGCGATCGATGAGGAGGTCTCGAGAAACTCTGATGTAGTCGATTTGCTGAGCTGGGAAGCCAAGCTTATCATCATAGCGACAAGTCCAACGACCTTGGAGAACGGAGTCCATGGTGTTGAGGAGAGCGAGGTCACGGGTCTCAACGAAGTCCAGGAAATGGGGGGCGACGAGATCGCGTATAGAGGGGGCGCGAGGCCCCGCCAACGGTGCACCTTGACGATTTCCGACGGTAGCCTGGGCATCCACACCAATGATTAGGTAGTCATGCGAGCGTTCGCCGATTCATTCATGGACATGACCGATAATTTGACAATATTCGCCCACCTTATGGAAACGAGTAGATAAACACAGACGAGGAGGATACTCTGCGAGCCCCACCTGAGCCCCGCGGATATGGCTTCACCCCGCTGTTTGAAGGTAGCGTCGACGTCGCACCCGAACGAACGATCAACGATGACAGCAGTCCTTCTACGCCCCACATAGGAGCTCGAAACAAATTGGATGTGGCCGCCGTCCATGGCACTAATCTGGAAGGTTTCGGAACAGACTGCCTCCTGAAGGAGAAGAACATCGCAGTGCCCCTCCGCCCCCACGTCTGTGCGAACAAACGTTGAATTTATTCTCGGTGCTTCGCACAGTCCATGAGATAGCCTGTAATGTAAAGCACCGCCCCTGGGACACTGTGGGCCCCACTTCTCTGCGCGTGCCAGAATTGATGTCCTGCAGGTGCTGTGCATAGCGGAGGTTCAAAGCGGCGGCGCCGGCCTGGGAAGAAACCTCGAAGAGCCCCGTGGACCTGCTCGCCTCGTAGCGCCTCGTGGTCTGGCCGTCTCTGGAGCGGAATCGCACGATAACCCCGTCCCAGTCGCACGGCACCGCGTGTAGAATGTCGTTCCTCGTAGGATTTAGGCCGAGGGCGCTCGGTTCCTGCAGGTGTTTCGCGACGACGTTGCGGGCGGCAGAGGTCCTCTTACTAACATGTGTCTCGTCCTCCGTGCTGTCTATATGATGGAAAAGGTTATTGCCCTGGAACTGGAACTTGTGGCCTTGGAGGGCCTTCAGGAAGGTCCACATGTTCTGGGAGGATATGAACTTTATCTTCCCGAACGAAGCGAACGGCCCTGGTGTGTAGATGTCCTCCACGAGGTGCGGTCCCGTCCATACTGGACACTGGGGATTCAACGCCACAAACTTACGTATCCCTGTCAATGTCACTGTCTTTTTGGTGTCTGTCGGAGAACCACCCACAACAATAATCTGGCGACGTGTCTTTGGTGCCCAACCCTGTCCACGACTATAGGGGGTGCCCGGGTGACTGCCACCAGGCCCACCACCTCGGGTACCTCCCACATCTCTTCCTTCACTGAACTATTCGATGTAACTCCGCCCTGCTCCAGGGCGGCTGTCCTGCTCATGAGGTCCTGCACATTCTTGTCGGTCTTGTCGACGCGGGAGAGCGAGTCCATTCTGGTGGTCATCAGATCCACCTTCAGACTCATGTTCATCAGCTGGGTGCGTACGTTCTCGACATCTCGTCTGATGCTGCTGCAAACTGGATTCAGGGCCGCCTTGATCGCATTGACCATCGCAGCTGCCTCACGACCGAGACCGAAAGCGGGGTCGAGCGTCACTCCTCCACCTGGGGTCCCTGGAGCAGGGGCCCCTCTGGCGTCACCATCGAGGTCTATGATGTCACCCACGCGCGCCCGTTGGAGCGGAGGCTGCCCCGCGACCTCCTCGCCGAAGAGGTCTCCCATCGCACGAAGGAAAGACTGGCAAGACGCAAACTCGGGAAGAAGAAACTGAAAGGAAACAGGGGTGCTGCAAGAGCCCCAAGTCGCGCGCTCTCGGGGATCCCCGAAAAGATCTTGAGACAAAACGGATGATGATGATGATGATGATGATGATGATGATGATGATGATGATGATGATGATGATGATGATGGGGATACTGATACTGATACTGATGTTGGTGATGATGAGCTTGCTTCGGCCGGGGCGGAGGGCGGCCTTTCTGCACTCAGGTGAATCTGCGTGGGTGTGCCGTGGCGCACGAGACCGAGCGTTGCCTCCGCAGGACCATAGGGGAACGCCTCGGTCCGAGGGACATAGGGAAACTCCTGACCCCTTTAGAAGCGTGGGTCATCATCATCATCATCATCATCATCATCATCATCAGCATCATCATCATCGCCACCACCACCATCATCATCATCATCAGCAGCAGCATCATCATGATATATTCATAGTCATCATCATCATCATCATCATCATCTTCATCCTCATCCTCATCGTCATCCTCATCGTCATCAGCATCATCATCACCACCATCATCACCATCATCATCATCATCATCATCATCATCATCATCATCATCATCATCATCAGCATCATCATCATCATCATCATTATCGTCATCGTCATCATCATCAGCATCATAATCGTCACCATTACCATCATCATCATCAGCATCATCATCATCATCATCATCATCATCTTCATCAGCATCAGCAGCATCATCATCGTCATCGTCGTCATCATCGTCACCATCATCATCATAATCAGAATCGACAGCATCATCATCATCATCATCATCATCATCATCATCATCGTCGTCGTCATCATCATCATCAGCATCACCATCACCCTTGTCGTCGTCATCATCATCATCAGCATCATCCCCATTATCCCCATCATCATCATCATCATCCTCATCCTCATCCTCCTCCTCCTCATCCTCCTCATCCTCCTCCTCCTTCTCATCATCATCATCATCATCATCTATTCATAGTCATCATCCTCATCCTCATCCTCATCCTCATCCTCATCCTCATCCTCATCGTCATCCTCATCGTCATCAGCATCATCATCACCACCATCATCATCATCATCATCATCATCATCATCATCATCATCATTCTCGTCATCGTCATCATCATCACCATCATCATCGTCACCATCACCATCACCATCACCATCACCATCATCATCATCATCATCATCATCATCATCATCATCATCATCATATTCATCAGCATCAGCATCAGCATCAGCAGCATCATCATCGTCATCGTCACCATCATCATCCTCACCATCATCATCATAATCACAATCGACACCATCATCATCATCATCAGCATCATCATCATCATCATCGTCGTCGTCATCATCATCAGCATCACCATCACCCTTGTCGTCGTCATCATCATCATCAGCATCATCCCCATCATCATCATCATCATCCTCCTCCTCATCCTTATCCTCCTCATCCTCATCCTCCTCCTCCTCCTCCTCATCCTCCTCCTCCTCCTCCTCCTCCTCCTCCTCCTCATCATCATCATCATCATCATCATCATCATCATCATCATCGTGATCGTCATCGGGGCGCTGGGTACGGATGTCAAAACAGACCGTTTCTCCCTTCTTGGCTCTGGAGATCCCTGTTTCGAAAAGGCCTGTCCCCAATTGGGGGCGGGGGGGTGGCGGGGCTGAGATGCATTGGCCCAGTGGGGATGGGGGGGGGATACGTGAAACGATACGGAGGTGTGGCCCGTTCAGCGATGACGGTGGCGGTGACGAGGACGCCATCGTCATCGTCAAACACATGTGAAGCCTGCACCTGTCAAGTCAGACTCCTGAGCCCTGACTCCGGATCCGCCGTACTTCTGTTGGCCTTCTGCCTTCAGATCCTGTCGGAGACGCACCAGTGCGAAACAGTAGGTCGGACACTTCCGCCTCGCAGGGGCAGGGCGGAGACTCTAGCCGAGGCACGGCGAGAGCGGCGGCGGCGAAGAGCAGGGCGGGAGTCGACGCCAGAGAAGCTTGCAAACCTGCCTCCGAAATCCGCGAGAGCACGGAGGAGGAGGAGGAGGAGGAGGAGGAGGAGGTCAGACGCTACAATCTCGGGATTGAAGTCAGCTCAACGTCAAATGGAGGAGGAGAAGGAGGAAGAGGAGGAGGAGGAGGAGGAGGAGGAGGAGGAGGGGGAGGAGGAGGAGGAGGGGGAGGAGGAAGAGGATAATGAGGAGGCCAGACGCCGTCGTCCGCGCCTGCCCCTTCTTCTTCTGGGCGTGTGCTGCCGCGGCCGTGATGTCGATCACCTCCGGGGGCGAGCGGGCAGCGCGAGAGCCGGCGCGGGCGACGAGGATCCACCGGGGAGGCCGCGGCGGTCGCACGAGAGGGCAGCGGGGCAGGGATCGACCCCAGCAGCGATTTTGTTGTCCGTTTTTCGTTCTGTGTTCGTGGTCCCTCTTTCTGTAGAGGCTTGGAAATGGGCACCAACACCAACACAGGGGGTTTGCCTCCATAGGGGGAAGATAATTCTAGATTTCGGTAATGGTGGTAATATTTCGGTCACCTTGGAAGCCAGTCTATTGCCACCATCACCGAGATCGGGATCTTCTTCCCTCGGTGGAGGCACACCGCCGATGTTGGTGTTGGTGTTAACCTCTAGGCCTGCGAGTTGTGTCTTCAGTCTGCCCCTGCTGCACAACGGGATCGAAACGAAAGCGGCCCACGAGGTCGCCAGAACACCGTGCAGGTCGACCCCTGCAACGGGACACAAGCCACGGACGAGGAGGGGCGGCTGCAGCAACGGCAGGGCGGGGAGGAAGAAGCGGGCGGCGAGAAGAAACGGGTCTTGCGCGCGTTTGCGAGGCGTGGATTTATCCATATCCACCGCCTGGGAACCGACGTCCTGGGGACCCAGGGGCGGTGGATATGGCTATGTTTTGGCCACTGGGGGCCAGGCTCGGAGCGTTGGCACAGCGACCTTCTACGGCGGCTTACGCCGGCTGCCAGCGCGGCACGCCACGCCGTAAGCGAGGGCGCTTGCGCGCGACCTCACGCGGGACGCTTGCGCGCCAGCGTCGGCGAGGACGGCCCCATCTCCTCTGCATCGCTCGGGTGGAGGCCCCGAGCGATGGAGCGCGAGTCCGAGCCAACGGAACCGCGACAGCGGTAGGGTCACGCAGAAGCAGTGCATCGAGAGAAAGAAGAAGCACCAGAGTCCCTCACACGTGCCATGCAACACGCCTCCGTGCTCGTAAGACAAGGTCAGGACAGGGACAGAAATCGGACGGGGACAAATCGGGGATCTCTGAGATCCGGCGGTTCTGGAGGATGCATCGGGAGCCGCGACCTTCGGAACGCTCTGAGAGCGTTCTGGAAGGCTCTGGAACGATTTACCCGTTCGGCGGCGGGCAAGGTGGGGGAGTGAGAAGGAGAATGCCCTCTCAGACGAAGGCGACGGGGCTTCTCAGAAGCCCCCCCAGGCGTCTGAAAGGTTGTCTGTCCCTTCGGGGAAGGCTTAGAGAGCTTCTCGGAAGGCTGGAGGCCTCCCGAGCCTTCCGAGAAGGCCCGCCACTTCTCACTTCCTTCCCGGGCTGGCCGCCGATCTTTGTGATAGTCCTGCCCGAGCTCGATGACGGAGGAGGAGGAGGTGGAGGAGGAAACAGGAGCAACAACAGCGGTTGCAGGCGCCGCAGAGGGATAAGGAAGAACTCGGGAGCGGGGCGAAGGCAGGCACCAGCCAGGCCCAGACGACGGGCGGCAACGAGGCGGCGACGGGGCGGCGACGGCGGCAACATAGCCGCCAGACCGCCAGACATGCCCAATTTTTCAGAGGAGAAATCCGCCGACCCTCCGGCCTGTGTGAGACTCTGTCGTCGTCTTCGTCGTCGTTTCCGTCGTCGTCGGCGCCAATCCCTAGAGAGAAAGGAACGAACAGACAAGCGAAACGTCGTAGCTCAGTCGATTCCCTCCCCATTTTCGCCTCCCTGATGGGAGGGGGTTAAAAAGGGGCTAGGGGGGGAGAAGGTGGGAGGGGGACCCAGGGTCAGATGACCCCCCCTCGGGGGGTCCTGGCGGGTCCTGAAGGCAAGATGGCAAGATGCGCAACTCCCGAGAGGCCCGATATATTCGCGCGAACGAAAACGAAAACCAGAGCAGGGCTCCTCAGGCGGACCCATCCGTGTACGGCTTGGTCCCGGTCCCGGGCCAGAGCCTCCAGCTGCCCATGCCCTGATCCACCGCGAAACGGCGCAAAGGGTCTTCTCATTTCATCCACACCGTCTCGCGGAAGATCCGTGAAGAACCAGACTGCCGGCAGGCTGCTGACCCGGGCCCCCTGTGTGGACAGGGGGGACAAGGGGCCAACCCCCCACCCGAGGGTGCGTCCCCAGCGGAGGTCCCAGGGGAGGTACCGCCTGTGGGGGGGAGGACCAGTCCAGAATACCCCCCCTAGGGATCCCAGCGGGTCTAATAGGGAGGCGCCAGCGGGGGTCCCGGGGGAGGTTCCGCCTTCAGGGTCGGCGGCACTGGCCACAAGGAGGAGGAGGAGCAGGAGGAGGAGGAGGAGGAGGAGGAGGAGGAGGAGGAAGCACCGTTTGGGGATTGGGCCCGCGCTCCCGAGCTTCCAAGGCGGCCACGGCAGGCAACCAAGGCCGCATCGATGGCCCACTCTGCCTCCAAGAGACCCCAAAGGTGGCCCCAAGGTCACTTTCACATGTGAAAATGATCAAATGCACCGTTGATGCGTCGATCCCGATTCCAGATCGGATGGTCCTCTGGATTGCTCAAGACGGCCCAAATCGTCCCGAATGCGGCCCAAGAGGCCCCCGAGAGGCCCCCAAGAGGGCCACAAGAGGACCCCCAATGGGGCCCGAAGAAGCCAAGAATATCGCATCCCCAAAAAATGTTCGAAACATTTGGGTGTCTTCACTTCTTCGGGTTTTCTTCAACTCCCGATGGGCTCTAGAGGCCTGCAAGATGCAACCGCTACGGCCCAACAGGGCTCTAACATTGGCCAATCATCCCCCAGGACGGCCTCCAGACAGCCCAGGAGGGCCCCACGCACGAGCCCCAAACTGGCCCAAGACGGCCCAAAGACGGCCGCAAGCGACCCCAAACGCCCAAGAGGGCCCAAAGACGGCTCAAAAGAGGCCCAAGTCGGCCCAAGAGAGCCACAAGACCCAAGACGGCCCAAAGTCGCCCAAGGGACTCCAAAGACTGCCCCAGAAGAGCCCGAGCAAGGACGGAAGAAAGGAGGATGAGGAGGAGGAGGAGGAGGAGGAGGAGGAGGACGGGAGGAAGACGGGAGGAGGAGGAGGAGGAGAGGGAGGAGGAGGAGGAAGATAATAGGAAGAGGAGGAGGAGGAGGAGGAGGAGGAGGAGGAGGAGGAGAGCGCACTCCGTTCCCGCCGTAGGTTATCCCGCCCCAGCTGCCGCCTCGCTGTACTTCAACTCACACTGGCTCCCCTTGTAGAAGCCGTCGAGCAGAAGCAGAGGCAGCAGCGATCGAACGAACGCGAGCCCGAATTAAGCGAGACGCGCGCGCGCGATCGGGAAACCACTGACATGGAGCTGATTGAACGGATTCAAAGCTAAATCGAAGGCAATGCTGATCTGTAGAACAGCCTGGCGAGAGAGGGAAGGGGGAATTTCAACAATCCAAGAGCTAACCTCACCCGTGGCCCAACTAGGGGGAAGGGGGGGGGGGGAGGGCCATCGCATCAGGTTGAAAGGCTGGACGACGAAGGTAACGCTGGAGAGTCTCCCCACCCATGGCCGCACATCCGTATAGACAGTTCTGGGCCCCCGCTCTATATCGGGACGCGGTGTTCCAGCAATTCGAGATGGTCTTGAGGGCGGAGGTGAGGATGAACGGATGAAGACCCCGCCCAACAAGCTTCATGCGCATAAGCTGGCGATCGACGATTTGCTCTGAGCATGCAGGATAAAGTGCTTGCTGCGCGTGAAGACTGACCGACGACAGCTGGATGGGGCACGATGAAACTGGCATAGTTGCATTGCTTTCGCCTGCAGACCGACGAGCAGCGGGTCAGACGGGATGCCAGGGATGGCAGACAGCTCCGTCCACACAGAGTCGATGTACTCTAAAATTGAATTATTGTAGAGCTGCTGCGACCGATGTGCTACCGCCCAGTCATCCCCCTCTAATATAGCGGCAAGCAATCTCTCGTTGCGGTGGAAGGCCACACGCTTGCAGCAAACTCCACAGGCAGCAGCTTTACAATGCAGATCTAATCGTCGCGCGTCAATAGCGAAGCCGAACGCGGTCAGGTTATGCATCGTGCTGGGAGTAATCGCGTTGTTGGGGCCACAAGTTAAACGCGTCATGTATTTGGTTGGCTTCGACCTTCAAAACCTGAGCGGATGAAAGGGGGATCTGCGCGCCGCACGTGCAAGCGGGGAAGCAGTATAGGTTATATGCCTCTACATTCTGGCAGAAGGACAGACCGATCGACTTGAGGTGGAAGCTTCTTTCGGCAAGAGACGAGGCCGGCCCTCGCCGCGAGAGCTCCCGAGATCCAACCCCAAGAATAATGCCCAAATATTTCCCATGATCAAATAGCTTGAACTTCCGAATGTTCAGGCCCCAGGGTTTTCCCGAACGGCACCGGGATCGAAGCGACGAGAAAAGATGATATGAGTCTTCGCAATGTGGATATGAAACCCAGTACTTCTGGCCTGTTCAAGAAGCCCACAAAGTACTTTGGGGAGAGAGCTGTAAATGTGAACTGAGACGATGGCGAGGTCATCCGCGAACCCGTGGAGCGAGACCTCGGACCCGCACATGGAGCCAGAGAAGCAATGCAGGCACCGAAGCACACGGTCAAAGCAGACGGCGAAGAGCGATCCCGATAGAGGTCACCCCTGTTTCACCCCTCGCTCGACTTTGTAAGAATGACCGCTGGCCCTCCGAAAGTGGACACAAATGTTCACGTTCTGATAGAGTTTCATTACTGAGCTTCGGTACCAAGACGGAACACCTATCTTCTCGAGCACGCGCTCGACCCACTGCACATGCAAGCTCGGGAAGGCCGTGTTTATGTCCAAGCAGCATGCTCCACACTCCTGCTCGAACTCAACATCGTTGAGAATCGCTAGCGCCGAACCGACATCTATAATGTGCTCGAGTCCTTGGCGGCCAGGCACCAATCCCTGCTGGATGCCGCGGAGGTAGGTCGACGCCCTGGCATGCGGAGCAGCGAGGGCAGCGGCAATAATATCATTATCGGTGTTAGTGAGGGCGAGGGGACAAATGGAGGCGGGGCCACGGGTTTGGGCGCGGGCGGAGGGCC